CAAAGAACTTGCGTATATGTGAGGCTAGCTGTGTCTTATTGAGAACCATAGCATTATGGAATCATAGAATCATTTAGATTGGAAAAGACCTTTAAGTTTGAGTACAACCCTAAACCTTGTACTGCCAAGTCTACTAAATTATGTCCCTTAATCACCACGTCTACAGGTCTTTTACTTATCTCCAAGGTATTATGTTCAATGAAGAGACCTTTTAGGACATAATGCCTACAGTGGAGACACACTATCAGTTTCAGGCACTGTAAATGATAAAATCATAGAATCATAGTATCATTTAGGATGGCAAATATCTTTACGATTATCAAGTCCAACTGTAAACCTAACATTGCCAAGTCCACCGCTAAGCCATGTCCTTAAATGCTACATCTGCACATCTGTTAAATCCCTCCAGAGCTGATGACTCAACCACTTCTCTGAGCAGTCTCTTCCAAAGCCTGACCACTTCTCTTTCCCTGAAGACATTTTTCCTAATATCCAGTCTAAATCTGTCCTGGTGCAACTTGTACCTATCATTAGGCTACTTACTTGTCCTCTCGCTTTTTACCTGGGAAAACCTTTCAACAAGCTCCTTTTGGGTAGTTGTAGAGAGCAATAAGGTCTCCCCTGAGCCTCCTTTTCTAGAGGATAACAACCCCAGCTCCCTCAGCTGCTCCTCATAAGACTTGTGCTCCAGACCCTTCACCAGGTTCATTGGCCCAGTCTGGACATGCTCGAGCACCTCAGATGTGTTTCTTGTAGTGAGGGGCCCAGAGCTTGACACAGGATTTGAGGTGCAGCCTTACCAGTGCTGAGTACAGAGGGATGATCCCTTTCCCTAGTCCTGCTGTTTCTGATACAAGGCCACACTATTTCTGATACAAGCCAGGCTGTCATTGGCCGCCTTTACTACCTGGGCACGCTGCTGGCTCATGTTCAGCTGCTGTTGACCAGCAGCCCCAGGTCCTTTTCCACTGGGCCACTTTCCAGACACTCTGCCCCAAGCCTGTAGCACTGCCTGGGGTTGTTGTGTCCCAAGTGCAGGACTCAGCACTTCATCTTGTTGAACCTTGGACAACTGGCCTTGGTCTATCAATCCAGCCTGTCCAGATCCCTCTACAGAGCCTTCTGACTCTCCAGCAGATCAACACTCCCACTCAACTTAGTGTCATCTGCAAGCTGATTGATGGTGTATGCCATCCCCTGGTCTACATCATCACTAAAGATGCTAAAGAGTACAAGCCCCAATACTGACCATTGGGGAACCCCACTAGTGACCAGCCACCAAGTGGAGGTAACTCCATTCCCTCCCTGGGAACTCACCACCACTCCCTGGGCCTATCCATCCAGTCAGGTTTTAACCCAGTGAAGAAGGTACCTGTTAAAGCCATGGGCTGCCAGCTTTTCCAGGATAATGCTATAAGAGACAGTGTGGAAGGCTTTACCTAAGTCCAGATAAACTATATCCACAGCCTTTCCCTCATCCACTGGGCAGGCCACAACATTAGCAGCCTACTGTTTTGCTGGTAAATGGAAAGTAACATTCAGTATGGTCATTGCTTCCTGTAAAGTCTTTTTTTTTTTAACTCAAATCCAATCAGAAGCAGTGAGTGATCACAAACTGAGCAAGGATAAGCTCCAAAATTCTTGTTTGGTATTTTCTGTTTGCTATAAATTAGAAACTTTTGTTTTGCTATAAAATAGCCCTGACAGTCTGACAGTGTCCATATGTACCTCAGTTTGCAGGAAGAGGATACATAAGCACTAAGAACTCACTTTCAGTACAGAATTATACCAAACACTGACCCACACACTTTCATTTTGTAAAGATCTAGCATTTCTTTAATTTCTTAGAGCTGGGCCAGTTTTGATGTATATTTTATGTTATTCTGCTGGACTGTGGGTTAATTGTAGGAAAGAAACCATTTAGTATTCTAGCATATTCAGAAGTGATTCCTTACTTTCAGTTACTTTGCTATGTAAGTCTTTCATTCCTACCACATTGGTAATACTAGCATTGGACACTAGGTGGTAATCATCTTCTGGTAAGCTCAGGATGCATTTCACTTTGTAAAATGCCTTTTCATAGCTATTTTTGCATCACCGAAAGATGAAAACACATTTATTTGGGAATAATTTTAAAAAAATATTTTTGTTTGTTTAGTAGTGTTGGATATATTTGAATATAAAAACCTAGAAACTAATGTGTCAATATCTGTTTGCCTAGCCATTAGCTTAGCTGTCATGGTTATTTCTCCTCTATAAAATCTGGAAGGTCATTGTTTGCTATAATTTTCTCAGAAAAAAATGAAATTAGCATGTAGAATTTCTTTTATGGCCTGTGTAATCACTGACACTTTGAATTCAGCGATCTGTTAAGACAGTACGTAGTGGGGGAATGACAGCTCTAATAAACACCAATATGTCAATATGTGCTACATGCTACTGTTTAATGGTTGTTTATGTAGTAGGTGTGTTACATGAACTTGGAGCCTTTTGAGTTTGCTGACAATCTCTGATACTGCTTCCCCCCACAACTAAGTTTTTGTCATATAACCGGCTATTTCTTCTCTTCTCCTGCCTCTGCTTTATTGTCTCTCTTTATTCTTTTTAAGTGTTTTCATAAACACATCCTGTAACCCATATTTTTTCGTTATATTTGCAGAATGCAGAAAATATCTTTAAACCATAGCAGGTAGATAGGAAGAAATACAATACTCTCACTTTCAGCTCATATATTAAATTTACCAACCATTCAATCAAAATATAACCTTAAAGGGTATGTTTCTTTATCATTTCATAATACAAATAATTTGATATAATTGATTAATAAATATTATCCAGAATTTCCAGGCTTTCCTGATAGGAAGTATAAATTTCAAGTATGTTAATAAAAGGCTAATGTGAGCTCATTTAATGTAGTTCATGAATGATGGGCCTGACTCCATTCATTCATGGAGTGGTATGAATGTCTGACATAAGAGCAGGAGGTCAAGAAGAGACTTAGGAGGGTGTTTAAATTCTTCCTTTTCTAGAAAATTGAATGATTTGTAAGTGATAGGTTAAGAACTAGCATCTGTAATAGTTGCGAATGGGGATTAATTATGTGTGAGTCAGCATTTTGTAGGTGAACAGAAGACCAGAAGGGATAAGAGAGGTTAAAAGTGAGCTTGGATAGTCAGAAATGACTTAAACTATATTTTTCTTAGGTTTTCAGTTCGAACAGTCTCAGGTGGAAGCCTTAGAACTGCCTTCTCCTCCTAATGCACCCAGTATACCATTAGACTTATTTGCAGCAAGGGCACGTTGCTGGCTGATGTTTAACTTGGTGTCCACCAGGACCCCAGGTTCTTTTCATCAAAGCTGCTTTCCAGATGGTTGGCCTCCAGCACGTACTGGGCCCTGGGGTTGATCCTCCCCAGGTTGAGGACTTCACACTTTCTGCTTACTGAACTGTGTAAGGTTTCGATTGGCCCATTTCTCCAACCTGTCAAGGTCTTCATTGTCACTGTTCTACTTTAAGACTTGTTAAAATATGCCTAAAACCAGAACTTCCACAATCATCACTGTCAGCTTCCTCAAAGGCCTGGAAATACAGACAGATTTTGAAACAGAACAGTAAGATCAGTAGGCTGGACTAAGCAGCTGTTTTCTACAATTTTTTTGTCTAGGACTGTGATAATAGAAGGAAACAATAGTATGAAATGGAGGATGGAGAAGGATGGGAGAGCACTGGTATGGGTGTCACAGTGCTATGAGTGCAGGGAAATAAGCAACTGACAATTGACATTCCCCTGATCAGGGGCTTGGTTTGAGCCAGGTGTATTGAGGTCAGGAGAAACATCAACCTACTGTTAGAAAAGTAGAAGTCTGTACATTCTCCTTACTCATTCTTGTAATGAGTATATGAAGTAGGGAAGGTATACTTGGGAAGTAGAGACTTCCCTTGGGATTATAGGAAGGTACATTCTCTTAATTTATATTTTTATTCAAGATGAAAGTTTTAAGAATTTCTACAGATAATTTTATTTCTTATATGAAAATTCCAGAAGCTTGATAAATCTTAAGATGATAATATTTTTGTCTCTTTAAATCAAATATAGTTATAGTAATCAGATACTTCACATTACGAAACAGGAAACAGAATTAGGGAAAAATTCTGATTTCTTTATTTCCTTTCTCTTGACCTGCTGTTAAACAGCCACTATGGGAAAAGTTTATCATTTGTTCTTGATTGTTTTTCAGACTATTCATTGACTAGAAATTATGTAAGTGTATTCCCAAACTGTACTGGAAAACCAAAGATTACCTAATCCAATCATGACAGGTAGTAACTGTAAATTCAGTAGATATCATAGGCTGATTTTTTAAAGCATTTTGTCCTTGTTTTTTTAGAGTAGTCAGTCTGCTGGAGATTCATTCTGTTAAGAACTTGGCTGTTGATAAGTATCTCCCTTAAATATTGCCTGCTTTTCTGAAATCTCCTGCAGATGGGTAAGGTACATGCCACTCCCACATCAGCAGTTTAGGGAGGAAGAATGTCGCATTTATGACAAAGAAAATGGAGAATTCTGTGGAGGTAGTATGCAATTGCTCCAATTCAGTTTTGGGTGGTATACCTGAATTTCTTGCTCAGAATGAGGGATGGGATATCTTTGTGGAGCCTGAAATGATCAAAAAAATGTTTCTTGTCTCATTGCCTTCAATGTGCAAATATGTTTGCTGGTCATACTCTGGAGTTTTGGGAGGTCCATTTGAGTGGATCACCACTGACTGCTGAGTTCCTAGGAGACATGATGCAGGAGGTTGTAATTCAGATTGAGGGAGCGCACCAAAGAAAGCAAGCCCATAATGGAATAGGAATAGAAATGAGGCAAAGAAGGCAACACTGGGAAAAGGAAAGATAAGAATAAAAGTATTGTAGCAGACCTGAAGTTGTGTAGGACTTTTTAATGTTAAATTGTACTTCCCAAAGGATATTAACTGACAAACTTTTGTTCCTCTAGGAGGTTTATGGAGACTCACCTAAGAACAATTCCAAGTGATGCTTTTTCCAATCTCCCCAACATCTCTAGGATGTAAGTTCTGTTTCTGATATTATTTTTTTAGCTATTTTATTAAAAATCAGTCTCCTTCTCCAAGATTCTGTCTTACAAAAACTTGTGAAATGAAAATATTCTTACACCTTTGTTACCTCACCACTTACATTTTAGAACTGCAGGTAATAATCCTTTTAATAACCTGAACCAGCTATAGGAAGGCATTCTAGGCATTTATGGATAAGACCACAACTTTATTAAAGTCAATGTGATAAATAAGGCTATAAAACTTTTTTTCAGTCTGCAAATTATGGGGATTTTTTTTGCTCATAAAAAATTAACATACTCAGTTCCTGGTCCTGGCTAAAAATTTGTTTCCAGCTGCCAGCATGATTTGTAACTCATCTCATTGGAGACCATGAGCATTTCTAGACTAGAGGTGAACTTTCACCAAAATATTAGTATTTGTGTGATGTGAGAGGGACCTCCATTGTGTCACTGCCTTTGTGTGCAAACATATGCATGGATACAGTCCACAAAAGCAGAACCAGCAGCCTCTACCTATTTGGCTCATATCAACATCTGTCTCATTGAAGGTGGCTATGTTAAAAAAACTTCCCTGTCCAACCATCCAAGAGCCACTCTGGTAGTCACTCACACACTACCTGGAGCTGGGCTTGAGATCCCTTGGGAGCTACACACCCTGCACTCACGCAGTCAGACCGGGTTTCCTTACCGACAGGACCCCAGATTTCCCATAACAGTGTGTCAGAGGTCCAGACCTTTCAAATAGTTTAATCTTGTCAATAACTTAATAACAAAATAACAGCTTGAACTGGGTGGCTCCAAGGAGGGACCCCAAACAAAGAAATCCCTGAGCTTTTATACCCTCACTGTCTGGCGTCCTCAGGTCTTGCTGTGTCTCTGCTGTGCCAGGTTCCCAGGCTGGCACCAGAAGCCCCCATGCCCTTTGTTGTGCAAAGGGTTGGCACTCCATGGCCCCTTGCCTCAGGATCCCACCACCCAGAGCTCAGCCTGCAGCTTGAACTGCAGCTGCACACTGAGCTACCTGCACTGAACATATTCCTCAACAGCCACCCTTGCACTGCACTGCTCCCTGGTGTCAACAGTCTTGAGAAAAGGTTTGTTTGTTCTTGGTGGCTGGCCCATAATCTGTGATCCTGTACATGACTATTTGATGCAGGGAATTTCTCTGCCATTTCCCAATTCACTCCCTAGAATCAGAGACATGTGATTTAGAAGGGACTTCAGGAGGCCTCTAGTCCATGCTCAAAATTGGGCCAACTTTGAGATCCAACCAGGTTTTTATCAGTCTGCTGCTCAGCTTTGTCTGTGGCCAATGTTAAGTAAATAAACCATCTCATTGAGCAAGAGGTCCACTTTTTTCTTGTTCAGCCTTTTATTACTAATGTAGCAATAGGAATTCTTCTTCTTGCCCTTGATGTTCCTTGCAAGTCTCAAATCTATATGAGCTCTGATTGAATAGCTACCATTTAAGAATTCATGAAAAAAGACTTTGGAGGAATGTGGTCTGCCTCATTATATTTTATAGTTTCATTCAGGTGTTTTGACGTAATGACTTTCTAAAATCCTTATAAGTAATTGTTCTCGAATATCTACAGCTTCATTTACCATCTCACTCTAATCAGATGGTAAATGGTGTATTGTTTTGTTGGGGGTTTTTGGGGTGGGGGAGGGAGGAAGGGAATATCCCTCATATAATGTATAATATCATATATAAACATGATAAACTTTGTTTAGAACAGATTTTGATTCAATGTAAAAGGATGTCAATTCTTCTTCATCTTTCAGTGACATCTAATACATTGCCTAGAGGCTTTTCAGATTTTAAATCTTTAAAATTGTAATATTTTGAATCTGTAAAAGAACAGGTGTTCATCTGAAAAATTTAGGGAACCTTTCTCTAAAGATGCCTCCAAAACCTCCAAACCCAGCAGTTTACATCTGAATATTGTCAATGCCTGTCTGGATACTTCTTATGGCATTACTACTACCACAAAACATTATCTCCCACCTTCTTGATATAAACTTCAGGTTAAGGAACCAGTACCTGTATTTTAACTACAACTCTTACGTGTATGTCTTGGCATCTAAGGTACCATGTCTCATTTGCTTCTCCTAGCCCATAATTTCCATCAGCAATGAAAATTACCAGACCACTCCTGGTTTTGTAAATACATCTAGAAAATGTTCTGAAGTTTCAATAGGGTGATATAAATTGTGTTTACTGTTCCAATTACAGCACTTCATTTTACTATATGGTTTCTACTATATGATTTCCACAAATAAACACTTTTTTCCTCTGTACTGAATAGAAAATGTATTTGTCCTCTTTATGAACCTTGTTCAAACAGAAATTTTAGAGCTACAGTTTCTCATAAATGAATGCATATATATGTACTCTTGATAACTAGAAGTAGAGACTGTTTTCCTGTGCTGCTTTTCCACAGGAATGAAAGAAAAAGTATTTTAATTACATGCTCAACTGCAAAGCTAACTCCTGTCAAAAAGGCATCACTGAATACAAAATGGTTTTATAGGATATTCAGATGCAAGAGACATTTCTGGTTTACATTCTTAAAGATGCAAATACATTAAATCTTGGTAGAAGGGCTTCACCCAGTGTTTCCTTAAGGACACATTGAACATTCAGTATTTTTAAAGGCGGGGTAAGGAACATTTTTCCTGGGCTTAGGGTGGTGCTTTGGGGTCACATTCATGAGTACCTCACAGACACCTGACCTGTAGCTCCCCAAAGTGTTTTTTCCACAGCCTCTCCACACAAAGTTGCATCCCACAGTGCTCTCTGCCAGCAGCCCCATGCAAAGCACACTTTCCCCCATGCACCATTTTCCTGCAACACAGGGGATGCTGAGGCTGGAAAAAAGAAAAAAAGGTGGAGAGAGGGAGAAGGAAGAAAATAAGGGCTGGGAGGGGGCCTTGTGGCTGCTCAATCTGACAAATCCTGTGCTCTCAGGCTCTTTCTGAATGGGCAATGGTGATTAAAGTGTTGTCTGGAAATAGATGTCCTCTGAAACTGTGCATTTGGTGTTTGAGCTATCAATGCAGTCATGATGGGTGTTGAAGGCATTTTGAAATCCTGCAATTTAAACACAGCTGGTAGGCAGAGGAGGTGCTGAATAGGAACATGCATTCAAAATGGGAATTTAAACATGCTTTCCCTGTTCTTCTGATGCAACTCCTTCCAGTTCTGATTACTATGATTTTTATTGCTTACATTTAATATGTGATATTATGTGTTCAATAGGCAGAGCCCACAGATATTTGGAGGCACTCTGAACACTTAGAAGTAAATGTTTATATGCCATTAACACAAGTTTCTGTTTGAGATCCCCATCTCAGAGGAGATTTTGAGTGTGTTTGCGTGGGGTTTGGGTGTCTATCTACATGACCCTAAAGCAAATAAAACTACTCGTTTCCCTGCCATCAGTGATGGTGTAGTTTAATTAATTTACACAACTATATATGTTTATGAAGCAGAAGAGCAGAGGTCAACACATGAAGAAAATCAGCTATTTCCTTCTCACTGCATCCCACAGCTGAAAATACAAAACTATACTTCAGTCAGGCCCAAGTCAGGCAGTATATAGTAAAAATGCAACATGAACCATAGTGGGAAGGCACATGATGGCTGTAGGGGTGAGGGAGGGGAGAGGGAATCCTCTTCTCTGCCTCTTCTCATATGTGAGAAAAAAGCACCTGCCTGCCTGACGTGAGGTGACTCATTTTGACTACAGAGCACAAAAAAAGTACTCTGCTACTTTCTAACCCTGGCATGAGGCTGCAATCTCTGTTCATTATCTGGTTTTAATTTCATTTTCTGTCAAACTGATTTATATATCTCTGTTTGTTACATATAGCAACTTTATGTTTTATCATATGTCATTAACATAACCTATCTTTTGGTGTGTTAAAATGTAGGGTCTGTTGGAATTGAATAATTCATTTTCTTTCAAGACTGAACCCCCGATTTCCCAGGCAACAGACTTCTCTCTTACAGGAGAGCACAATTAAAACATCTCACATAAACATCTAACTCTGCAACACTCAATCACAGAGGTACAGACTGGAATACTTTTTTATTGTATTCCTCTTTTATTATTTTCCCACCTTTTCGAAGAGGCAAATAGCTTTGGAAAAACAATATTACTCTAGAAAGAGAATCTGATAGTTATGCAACCTCTACCCGTTACTTTTCTGGTATCTTTTCAAAGACAGTTGAATACATTGTCAAAGTGATCAATACAAAATAAATCTCATAGTTAAAGAGTTAAAATTAATTCAGGTAATATGCTTTTAGCTCCAGGCTGGAAAAGACATAAATTCCCATCCAGTTAGTGCTATTAGCCATCTGCTGGTTGGGAAAGCATGTAACAGCAGTTACAATGTTATCATTCTCCTAATGAGAGTGAAGAGACTCTGTAGAGCTATTTTCTCATCAGATTCCATAGATCACCATTAGACAAATGTAACGCAGTCTGAACTGTGTGCAAATAAATATTTCTTAAGCTTGCTGTCTGGCTTGCTTTCTGAGCCACATTACTCTTTACATCCTCTATGACACTCACTATATGTCTGGAGTTTCTCTCTAAACTCATGCTTTAGCACACTTTTTTACTCAGCGATCAAAGCGCCCGTTGCCCTGATGACCTGTCTCTCTCTACAGAAATTACAGCAGTTGTTGCAGTGGTGGCCCAAGGATCATTTCCGTTTCTTTCCTTCCTTTTTATAGTTCTTTGATATAGAAAAATATACCAATTTACCTGAGGCCTAGATTCCCCCTGGAGATATCCAAGGTGATCTTAAGAGGGGAAAAAGAAAAGAAATATGATGCCGAACTGTAAAATACTGGTGTCTGTTTTTGCTGTTACTTTGCACTGTTGTGTTGTTTTGGTTTCACTGTATTCTGCAGTATAATGTGCATCTACAGCATCAGTCAAAATAAAAATCCTTAAAAGGATTTTAAAAGTGTGTCCCTCAGATACTGTCCATGTGTCTGGCAGTGTCATGGTAGGTGGATGAGAAAAATAATGAGAGGAAAAATGAAGTGGTATGATGGACGCTAACAGTGGCTTCCCAATGTCTGAGACCTGTTTATTTTTCTGTTTGTTGGTGTTTAGCTACATCTCTATAGATGAAACACTTCAGAGTCTGGAGGCCCATTCCTTCAACAGTTTAAGTAAAGTCACTCACATGTAAGTACTGTAATTAAATAAATGAATACAGCAATGAGATAAATTTGAGATGTGTGGAAATAACATACATGATGATGTTTGAGTTGTCATTCCTGTCTCCTTTATAGCTAAATATTCCTTTTCTCATTTCCTTTCTCCATAATGTGGAATGAGTCAGTCTTTTTTGAGCTAATTTTATTATGCTTTCTTTCCATACATCTTTTTTGTTTCCTTGCTCTTCTGTATCCTCCCATAGAAATGCAGGTAAATATAGTGAAAAATATGTGGGGCTACATCACAAGATTGATGGCAAGTTGAAATAAAATGGCAGATAAGAATCACTTCTGTCAAATTACTGCAGGTAAGTGTAAAATGGTAATATAAGCACCAGAAATAAAATCAGAAGGGCCAAAGCACAGAGCAAAATGGCACTAGCTGGAGACATGAAGAATAAGAAGTAATAATTCTGAAAATGCACTAGTATAATGAAGAGTGTTTATATGGTTATTATATGGAATGGGAATAATATGGAAAAAGGCTTCTGGGAAGTGTTTTTATACCTTTTTGTTCTGATGGTCCTCACCAAATGATGCACTAGGATAGTTACAGAAATGGTAGGATACCTGCATCCAGAGAGTTCCTGTCATTCATCAGGACCCTGTTAAAATGAGAACGTAATGTACTGAATAGAGAGCTTCATAGGATCCATCCTGTATCTGGTACTCTTCCATGTTTCCATCATTGATCCAGAGGAGGGAATGGAAAGTATGCCACTGTTGTAAAGCTCATCAGGATGAGCTACAGTTTGTCATACTTCAGAGAAGATTTTTGTTTGCAGAGGTTCCATGGGAGAGCACTGTTGGTCATCGTGGATCCCGAAAACATTGTCAGAGAGGAAAGGCTTCTGTGTCCAGAAAGAAAACATGCCAGAGGCAGATATATCCTTTAAGGTTGTTGCAAGGGGTGAAACCTACCACCCATTTTCCACACTGATGTTTGACAAAGAAAAAGTAATAATAAGGTTAAATTAGATTATATGAAATTCATGTTAGACCGTAGGAAGTGTTTTAGTATGGTTGGCATAAGTAAACACTAGAATTGTTTTCCCTATCACTGCAGGCCGTCAAGGCTGTGTGATCAGAAAATTCATAAATCTATTTAATCTTCACTCAGAGAAAGAAATTGAATTATCAACTTAACACTGCTCTGTTTTCTATGATTTTTTTTCCTTTTACTTCACACATTGTGAAAAAGAAAGACTAATAAAGTTACAGGAGAAAATATCATTACTGTTACTGAAGATAGAGAGAAACTAATGCTGGAAAGTGTAAGTGACTCGTCTAAGAGAACCTGACAGACATAGCTAGAAGCACAGTGCAGGATTCTGAGACCTAGTTCAGTCCAATAACATGCTCCAGTAGTATTCCTGAAAGAGTTTCACAGGAAGATTTTGGTGTAATATCACTACTTTTCTTTGGTTGTAATACCATTCCTTCTTCTGTAGCTCTTTTTTCCAGATCTGTTGTGTTCATGTTCTCTTTCACAGTTGTTGTGTCTTTAGAATTTCTTGTCTAATACAAATGAACATTTAATGAAACATTTACTGGCAGCACATTTTATCAGCAATAAATAAAGCATTTGCCACTATGTGCTACAAATTCCTCATGTGGTACTTCTTTTGTAGTTCACTTTATTAGAAGTTAAAGATAAAATGCTCTTGGGCCATTGCATTTCATTGTAGGATTCTTCCATGCAATATGCAGTGTAGTAGCTTGTTGTTTTTATCTTATATGGATGCAAAGACTTCTTGAGGACAGATTAGGGAAAAAGGAGACAGCTGGCTAGATAGCTGTTTTCTATTGTTTCTGTATTAGAGTCCAAGTGGAGACCGAATTCATAACGCAAAATTAATTTCCTTCAAAGAGTAATATAATGTAAACCTTTGAGTATAAAGAACTCTTCCACAAAATGCACACTTTTTAATGTGTCACCAGTTTGACAGAGTGGTGGATGGAGCTCTGGTGTTGCCAGTGCCTCCCAAGGCACTCATTCTTGTGATATACTCTATAACACTGCCTAATTTGCACTAATTTCTGCTATCTAAAGGGTGATGAGGAACACGAGTAGAAGCCTTTTCTCTCATCCTCTTCCATTCTCTAACTGCCTCCAAAGCATGTTTAGATGCCTGCCTGGGCGGACAGCCAGTGCCCCTTGCCATAAGCAGGCCTCTGCCATGGCTTCCATGAAGGGAGGGCACACCAGAAGGTTCCAAAATCACTGCATTACCACACCCTGCCAGACCCCAGGCCTGGATGTGTTGTCCATGACTAGGAAGCTGCAGGCCTGGGCAGGAGTCAGCAGAGTTCACGGGCACCTACACTCACATCACCTATAGCACAGGCTGTGGGAAGGACACGGTGAGAATGCTTCCTGATCTGCTATAACAAGGGGTATAGTAATGTGGACCCCTTATATATCTCACAAGGCACTACCGAAAAAGCAACTGTGCACAGACATACAAGATATAAGTTTTATTTTTTCTTCTGCACAAGAGTCAAACTACCCAGAACTACATCAGAATTCACAAAAGTCATAGGCAAACCCCCAGGATTTGCAGATAGCCCACAAAGAAGGGCTCTACCACTCAAAAGTGCTTACCAGGTTTTTAAAATATGTTTTGGAAAACATTTATCATTTAATCAGGGAATATCCAGGCATCTGGTAACTTAGATGGTTGCATATAAGATGCGATAGAAAACAATTTATAAATATGATCATTTTTATGAATTGCTTCCATAACTCCTGATTTGTTAACACTTATCACTGTTGGATTTACTTTCCAAACAACAGAACTATATGGGGCTAAATTTATATGTTGTGCTATGCATTTGATTAATGTTCTCCATTTACATAGTATTTTCAAAGTATTATTGCTGAAATAATACTGGGTTATCAAGGTGTTTTAAAGGAGATTGAGGTTACCCTAACAGTTTTGAAAAGTCATTTCACAGAGTTCCATTTTTACAGCTTGTTTTTCATTGAACTTTCCTAAAGTGCAATTTTACGTAAATAAAAATAATCTTTTAACCCTAATTTAAACTTATACACAGGGTTTCATTTTAAAAACATTTGTTTTTAAATATAAGAACTTCTTAGGAGAAAATTTAGTGTTTGTGGAAGGGAGGAACTAATTGCTTTGGCTTGAGTCAAGTGTTATGTGAATAGGCAACCTGTGTTCGTCATGATCCCTGTCTGCCAAGTTTAGTAGTGTGCTTCTGCCTTGATCTTCAGCAATTCATTTTCTTGGTCCTTATTTAGTTCATGTGCCTCTGTCCTGATTTTCTTTTCCTTCCAGACTTCAGCTCTCTTTAAGTATAGGTCATATTTTTATGAATCTATGCCTTTCAAGTACTGAGCAACTTCTGCAAACTAAGGATACTGATCACATGCTGTATTTTAATGAGCCAGATCTTATTTCAGTTGTAAGTAATGGCAAAAGTCCCACACTATGAAGATGTAAATAAGGCACAAGATTTTGATGTTTTGGGTTTTTTCCCCAGTTGTGTTAAATTGATCTCACAATGGTTTCTGGTTTCTTAAGTATGTCTGTAAGTCAAACTTAAACCTGCTTACAAATTCAGAACTGTCTTTCCCGCACAATTACATAAGTATTTATTTTTTCTAGATGTAATTGTGAAAGTGTCTGATTAGGAGTCAATATTTCTGTGTGGATGTTTTACTAGTAGAGCTGCAGCTTGGTAGCATCACACTAAATAAAAACGTTTTGTAATTAGGTCTTTATTTCTCAGGGAAACATTCCTGTGAAAGGAACCCCAGAAAAATTCACTCTTTCTTTTCCTCTCTTCTCTGTATCTCTGCTCACTCTTCTCTGATCTCTCCCTACTCTCTTCTCCTCACTTGAAAAGTATTCTCCTCTTATACAACCACATAAAAAGCTCTCTCAGCATTTGGGAAGAGGCACAAAGGTTATGGTTCAAGTGGTTTGCCCTCACGTATATGACGTCATTTGGAGAGCTGGTGGGGGACCACTCTCCAGCTCTGCAGTGAGCTGCAGTGAGATGGAGCCAAGGGCAGGGCAGCCCCACCATCCTCCAGGCCAGGGTTGCACTTCCCTTGGACAGCTTGTGATGCCAGGCCGTGGGATACAGCTCTGCAGAAAGAAAGAGAGACAATAAATATATAACAAGCAACTGGAGAGGAAAACTGAAGAGATTTGTGGGGGACTGCTGTATACCTGCAGTGAATTTCAGGGCACAGGGATAAGTGTTGTGCAGAAAAATCTTGTTAAAATCCGCAGTCTGGAGGCAGGGAATAGACTGTTGGAATAGCCTAAGCCCGTTTTCTGGTGCCAGTGGTGCAAAGGCTGGACAAGTGCATGCAGATGAAATAACATAAATAGTTTGTCTGTAGGGGGAGAATAAAACATGGAAGCAGATGTAGAAGTGAGAGAAGCGAAGGAAGCTATAGGCAAAATAAGTCTAAGATGGTAGAGAAGGGCCCCAAGTTATTACAAGAGAGAAAAAAAGAGCTTATTTAAAACACTTCAGAATTTCTGACCTGGATATCCTTAGTCTTTCTAGGTATCTCAGCATAACATGATTATATTGCTACTCTATTTTACCAGATTTTACCATCCAAGGAGTCTTTCTGCTGTGCCTTTTGCAACCGGTCTTGTCTATCTCGCATTGGCCTCTTCGGCCACCAGCGCGCTTGTAACAAATGTGGGTAGAGTCCTTCCCAAATCTTCATTCGTGAAGTCCAGCCATGATGGCCAGATTTGTAATTTCTGAATACTGGACTTAAACAAACTCAAGGATGAGTCAATATTGCAAGGCAGAAATGAAAAACAGATCTGGTAAATGAAATTTGGAATCCACTTAAATATATAAATATTTGTGCTTTTTTTAATAGAGAATGTTAAGTAGCATATTAATCTTTCTAGAGGTTACACGGCAAACATATGTCTCAATTAATTAATTAGACTAATATTTGAATAGTTATTATTAGTTTCATTTTTAGATTCTTCTGGATTTAGAACTAAACAGTTATATCTCTGTAACTGAACATCAGTTTATAATTATTTGTAAGTCTTGACATATGTCTTTATATCATTAAGTGACTTTCTCTGCATATCTGTTCTTGACATGATAAAGTTTTTTGTGTATTTTCTTTAAAAAGCAAAACTGAGTTGCTGTTCATGGACAGTCACGTGGTGGTTTGATTGTGAACTTAGTACATTTTTAATTCCTAGTCTGAATGCCAGAACATCAACTGTAAAACATTAATTGTCTTTAAAGGACAAATAGGCCAGTTTTAAATGGTTTATGCACTTCTAAAAATAGAGCAGAAGTTGAATATTTTGTAAAGTAACTTTGAACAATTTTGTAAATATTCTACAATAATTCTATTATCTTGTGGGTAGGTAGCAGCCTCTTTCTTTCTTATGAGCATCTCTAAGTAATTTTGGTTAGGACTGCAAAGTGCAATGTTTGTTCAGGGCACCTTTTGCCTTCTTGCATCAATGGTGAACAAAGATGCCTATCTCAGATTTTTTTTATATCTTAAAATCTCAGAATTTTTTTATATCTTAAAAGCACTTAATTCCCAGAAGGACTCAGAATTGTTACATTCCTGTATGCTATGATTAAGGTGTGTTTGTAGAGTGCGTCAAAGTTGCATTTCAAAAGTCATTTAAAATCAGTTCTCATAGACACTTAGATATCTGGGAACTAGCTTACCAGACATTTTTAAGTATACTCTTTGGCTTTATCTGCATTTCAGGCAGCTAAGTCTACTAATAGTTTTCCTAGAGCTGCTTTTCAAAGAACCTTAACTTTTTAATTTAGTGAGTTTCAATCTTTCCAACTCACCAATCCATAAAAGCTAAATGATAAAGTGCAAACCCTGCTTAATGAATTTACTGATAATCAACTTGCTCTTCTTAGCTTTATGGATCCTTTGGGATTAATCTTTACACCACAGGAGTCTTTTGATTACAATTTGAAAATTAGTATCATTTATGCACCTTTGAGTATATTACTCATGATGGATTACTGTAAAAGAAATTGTGAAATTCAGTTTGTGTATCAGTATCCTGTTAACTGATGAGCTCAGAACTATTAAAATATCTTTCCTCCTTATCAGCTTAACTTCATAGGCTCCTTTATCAGTGGAGCACTAGATATCCTTTAAATCTGTGATTTTATGGAGGAATTCCTTCCAGTACTCTAAGAGTAACGATGTTTAAATGTTTAATACAAGGACAGAAGTACAGTTCATTAATGGAACTGAAGATCTTTCTCTTTTTCATGCAGATGAGATGAGAGGCCACATAGTCAGGCCAGTTAAATGCAGGAGGCACATTTGACTGGACTAGAAGTAGGGATAATTGGATTTTCCTCCTCATTTTTTATCTTAAGCATAACATTCACTTTTGTCAAATCACCTTTTACCTTTTTATACCTCTCTTATCCTCTCTCTCATTTATTTTGACTGGAGACTTCTATGCAACTGTCTATCTGCTCCACAATGGGCCCTTTTCTTCCTTTTGGGCTTTACAAAGTGTAGGATGAAATGCAAGTATAAAAAGAGTATATATTAAAGCATACTTCTTTTCTAATCCTAGCATTACCAATTCAAGTAAATTGAACAGCAGGGGCATAAACCTTTCCCCAGTGTTCAGTTGAATCATATTGATTCCCTTGCTCACGTGGTTTAAGCTTTTCTCTCATTATTGTGCTGTCTCATCTGGCAGTTTAAAATATTTTATTCCCAGATTAATTAGGTTTTCATTTGCCTTTTTTAAACAGCACATGTCCTCTCATGGCCCAGTAATTTAATAAACCAAAATTGTATCTCACTACATTATTTTGCTCTTTCAATTTTAGTACCATCTGCAGATTTCGAATTCTTACTTCCAGTACTCTCATCTGAATAATTTATGCAGAATACTATGAATAGCAACAAACCAAAACCTCATGACTCTGTGATACTCCAATGCATTATCCATTTCCAGGCTGAAGGCTGATCTAAAGACTGTCTTTCCCTGGAAAATGTTTGGTCCACAACAGAGCAGTATCAGGCCAGGAAGCTCATGAATCCAACATTTTGAAAGCAGTCAGTGATGGAAAAAAACATGTCAGTTAAAGTTTATTGAGCAAGTTCCACTGCTGGTAGTGTGATAGCTACATAACTAATAAAATAATTTGAAAGAGGCAAGAAACTGACACTGAGAGGGTTTATTTTAAATACAGAAACACATCTACAGTTCAAGGTAGCTAACAGACATGAAGAATATTTGAATGCAGCACTATGGTAGCAGTACTATAGCTATTAATGATATCAATTTAACATGCAAGTAAAAAGTAAATCCTCATTTCCCTGCAGTGTTGTAGTAAACAGAATACAAACTGAAGACTTGAAGGTGGAGCAGGACTGTTTTGGCAGTACAACAGTATATAGAGAGGTTGAAGTCTTTGTACCAGCATCTACATACTGTTTTATCTACTGTCTTCTGTCTCTTTTCCCACTTTTATTTCTTAGACAACTTGTCTGGGTTGATTTTATCCTGTAAAAATAATTCCAGTGGCAGAGTTAGCCTTTAACTCCATTTTTCTGATTCTTATATTGTGTAGATTACTTGGCACTGTTAGGCCATGGCAAATTAAATACTACTGGTTTCTGCCCACTGAGTTTCTGTCCAGTGGTAGCACTTCTTGGACTGACTTAAGACCAGAACATCATCCATATAACCTGCACCACTATGCCATCTTTACCTGTCATCTTCATCAAATTTCTCTATATATGTAGGCAGAAGTGCTTTCTTCAGCCTATTGCTTCACTGCTAGCATCAGGAAGAAGACTGGCACCATTCTTTCTATATGGTTTCTATAATTAGAAAGACTGAGTGTTGTTCCAGCAGTGTTATGAGACCAGTGTCCAGAGCTGGCTTAAGGTAAAGAAATAGAAAAAAATATGCATAAATGTACATATTCTTCTGGAGACAGTAAAGAGGCCAGGAAATTAAAAGTCTGCATGCGATGGGGGAGGGTATGTGTGACTTTTTTAATAAAAGATGAAAATTCAGTAGCTCTACTGAGTCTAGACAGGGAATTTTGGCACAGTCTGATTGGTGCAGGCAGACTGCTAACTGTCATTGTGGATAGAAAAGAAAGAAATCTGCTAGAAAATAGAGGAATTAGAATGATTGAGGGAAATTACATTAAGGGAAGAGACAAGCATTTCAGAGAAATGGGGAAGAGTCATGACTCCAGGCAATGATCCTGATGGCTGGAGGGGCAGCAGCCCCATCAAAACACCTATGGAAAGCACCCATCATGGCCATAGCTGTGACTAGTGTCAGACTGGTTTTTCAACATGTGCAGACTAAAAAGCTACTTGTACACCAAGCTGTTGCCTGGGTAGAAGTATTTAAAGACATAACCATGGGCAGAAGATGTAAGGAATGAAGCCCATGTTATGTTTTGTGTCATTATATAGCAGAGGTACACTATCTTCTAAACTGCTGGATATGGCTATACAGCGAATAGTGTGTGCATTTCAAGTCTCAGAACAAAGTTAATTTAAGTGACCTGAGCCATCTTTTGATGAGTTCTGAAAAACAAAAAGGAAATATAATACAAAATACTGTTAGACACATGGAGAAAGTAACCAGAAAAATAGAACATAAAATTATAAGCGATACAGGTCATTGTAATTTGATAGGATTATTATACATAAATACTGAAAGTTTTACCTAACTTTTCTTTTTATTCAACTTTGCAGTCACAAAACACTCACTGTGTTCAAAGTAATAGCCATTAACACAGGGTATTGTTTTGATTTTAGGACCACGCAGACAAAGGATCCATAATCAAATCTCAGGTGCTTCTTACCCCCTTGCTTCAAGTAGCCAGTCTCCAGGATGGCATCTATCCAGATGATAATGCATCACTGTAAGATTGCTCAGAATGCATAGTGGTCTTGGGCTAGCATTGGCTAGTACAAAAAGCTTGTTGCAGGAGTTAAGTCCCTGAAAATTCATTTTAACATTTCTGATTTCTGTTGGGATAAGTAATTAAATATTAATTATTAATGTTCCTCTCTTTTTTACAGTGAAATTCGAAATCTTAGAAACTTGGATTACATAGATCCAGACGCGTTTAAGAACCTCCCAGTTTTGAAATACCTGTAAGTATTCCAACCTGTAACAAGTTGGCACTTAAATCTCACAGATGACTCCTTACATTATAGCAGTTTTGTTTCTTTATGTTTCATTTTGGAACTGATCACCATGTTTTTCCCTGTTGCTTTATTTCAATGACAGAAAGCTAGATAGGGTATGGGTTGGAATTTTTACTACTTTTGTAAGAAAGGAAAACATTCACAAATTCATCAGTAATTTTTCCATTTGTCTTATTGATTAAATATCTAGAACACACTAAGCTTCCTTGGCAAAACTCCACAGCTACTTTCTTCTTATGATAAGTGCTGTCATACTCTATTTTTGTAGGGAATAGTGGGAAGAAGGGACACAACAGATATATACTTATCTTTTTGCTAGATATTTACACAGGATTTTAAAGCAAACTTGTCAGTCAAATGTGAAAAGCCCACCTATATACACCTGATTTCATACATCATCTATGGCAGAAAGAAATTGTGAAAAATTCCCATGAATTTCTAAAGAAACTTCTCTGATTTTGAGTAATGTTTGGAAGACACTAGGAAGGATTCTTTCTGTGTGGAGGGGGGGCTGGGCCAAGGAGGAAAGATTTTTTCAGGTTTCTCCTATAGATGTGAAAGTAATAAAAAAAGAAAGTAGTCAAGAAATTTCATTTCAGGAAAATAGTTTTAAAGATAGAGAACTATACTTTCTTAAGTTATTTCCACTACACAGGAGTTGAGAAAGAAGGAGCACTAAGCATATCCATATTTTAAGAAAGTTTCCCTTTTTAGGGCTATATGATCAGCTCTTAACCACAATGAAAGATAGTGGATTTGGGGGTCCAGACTATTAGCAGAAGCAGCCTTAAACTCTCAAGTGAAACCTCACAAGCTACTTCCCTCTGCAGATCTGCTTAGCTGTCTTATTAGTCTGTACTCCCATTTTTTAGATGCTATAATTTATCATAAATCTGTTATTTTGAATTTTTTCAATCGTTCTTGCATTCTTTTATTTTGGACAGTTGATTATAAATGAATCGATTGACAACAGAGAGGATGAAATAACCATCCCACATTGTCAAACACTTTAAATACATTTTTTGTTGTTGTTCAGTGATCCAGTACATGTAATTTTTTCTGTTTCTCCTTTCTTTTAGTGGTATTTTCAATACTGGACTCAAAGTATTTCCAGACCTCAAAAAAATCTACTCATTTGATGTGAATTTTTTACTGTAAGTATCCGTCCTCACAGCTGGTTAAAATAACTGCCATCCTCAGATCCCAAGAAACCTGCAATGAAGGATTCTGATTTTAAGAAAAATATCAAGTCTGATAAAGAAGTTTTCCTCAAGCTTTATTTAAATGATCATTAGTACCAAATGCGGGAAATGCCAGGTCACCTAGCACAATACATTTGATCTGGATTAGAGACATGGACACAAGAGCATTCATGATACACAACTTCTACAGGCCTTTTGCTTTTATTTTGTTTTTGTAATGGCTGTGCAGTTCCTGAATTAATGTGAAGTCAGAACAATGTGACACACAGGACCCAAGCTAGCATACATCCTGCTAACGTGAAGTTGTCATGCTATCAACATTCTTCCAACAAATTTGTGCCGGCATGGTGAAGTAAATTGCAGAACAATTTCTTTAAGAAAGAGAATGGGAATACCAATGGGGAAAAGGAGGTCTCCCACTGTTATACTTAAAGGTGTTTCAGAAACACAGAGTTCTGCTTTGAACTCTAAAAAAAACCAACAGGTGTTTCTTGGTATTCAAAAAGCAAAGACAACATCCATCTTTGTGCACTAACCTGCAATTTAAGTTCAAATTCTGGGACATAATCAAGACAAGGAAGAAGAGCAGCTCAGATGAAGACTTGCAGGCTGACACAAGATAAAAGTGTCTTGGTCACTTCTTGGTCCTAGAGGAGAGTTAGAAATCTTGTATTGTAGCAGTTTTCAGATGGAAGAGGCTTGAATGCTGTCTGTGCTAGTCAAAAGGCTATTAAAAATAAGTAGTATTATGCGAGAAGGTGACTTGCAAAGACATAATTGATGATCTATCCCAGGCATTGTCTCAGTGCTCCTAAGGGGCGTTCTTGGTCAAGAATGGTCAGTTCCTACTGCATTCACGGTCTGCCATTGGCAAGATGAAGCTGAGAGCAATGTAGAAATGCTGCTTGTTCTGCTAAAAAGTCTAGACCTCTAGTAAGCAATGAGATCTTCCCTCCAAAGGATCTTCCAAAACTAGAGGCAGGCCTTGTTCTAAGTCACACTCCTTAACCTGCAGCTGTTATGCTCACCTTGGCTGTAGGCCCCCAAGATTCAGAACTCTGAGATACACCTTTATCTTAAGAACTATTAGGGAGTTTCTCAAAGACCAAAAGGGCTTTAGCTTAGATTAAACTCTACTAGATTGTAAATTAGATACTACACTTACTAAGTAGAGAGAATCAAGAATTTAGTAGGCTAGATGAAACAGAAGCAATTTATACAACCATCTGTGTTCTTACTTCCAACCAACTCAGCACCTTTCTAAGTGGCAGAAAGCAAAACATTATTTTACTTCTACATTGAGTTTTTTTTGATAGAGATCACTAATAAAAGATAAATATAGGTCCTATATGCTACAGACTTTTTAAAGAGTAGACCTGTACTTTTTCAAGGGAGATATTTCTATGTTGTATATTTCTAAACATTGCTATTCAAAGAAAGGTAGCCTTTTTGTTTCTTTAATCAAGAAAAAAATGCTCTTGAAAAACAGTAGGTCTCTAAATGATGAATAAGGTATAGTGGGGGAAAAAGCATTCATTATATTACTGTTTGTCTTTGAGGTCAAGCAACTTACAAGTAAACATTTATTTGGAAAAGTGAACCAATCTGAAAAATATCAAACCAATATAACTTCTGGTGAAAACCACCTATCAGTGAAAATTACTTGGAATTAAAATGGCTCTAGTACTGCTCAGTGTTAGCATATATGTATGCAGATATATAGCACAGAAAAGAAATAAAATTGTTCCTGGCACATGGGCAATTGTTAGGACTTCTCAGCCTATGGACTTTAGGGATTGGCCTTATTAGATCACATCTAATCCACAAGCTGAAGAAAAGAAAAATTTGCAAAATATTTTGGTTTCCAGACTACAATATGATTCAGGAAAAATCAGAAGAAGGACAATAAGACACTTTGCTCTGCCCTTTGTTTCTACCAGTTTTTTCCTCTCTCCTTTTTCCAGTTTAGTTGTAGTAAATCTCTTCAGTTCTTCTTTCTATCTTTCATTATCAACAGAGTTTTGGTCTGAAAATACATAGTATTTGTTAAGACCACAGAGTAGGAGTAAAAAAGTATTTAAGAAATGACAGATAATGAAATAGTCATTTGGACAAGAGAAGAATCATTAGATTAGATCCCACAGTAAGTTATTTCACTTGTGCTAGATGCAGTTCTGTAAAGTGCAATGCCTCTGTCCTGAATAATGTATTATCTGATGTCTCATCTGACCTTAGAGAGCAGGATTTCAGCTCTAAAGCCATTTGGGTTGTTCAAGTCACACTGCAGCATTATTCAGTCTGCTAATTCTCTGGCTTATGAGACCAGGGACCTGTCTGTGACATTAGCCACTATAATCACACAGGCTGGTACAACTCACCAGGACTACAAAACCTATCTACCTCACAAACTCTCTTCCTGGATGCTGGAACATGCTCAATTCTTCATTCCACATGTATATTCTGGCCTTAGATATAACTAAACAGGTTATCCTTTTAAAATTTTATTTATTTTTAAATAAATAAATGTTTATTTAAATAAATTTAAATTTATAATATATAATACTCATTATTTCTATTAATTTTAACATTATTAATTACATAATAATATATATATAGAATAAATTTATTTATTTAAATAAATGAAGTTTTATTTTAAACTTTCATTTATTATCAAGGCAGAGAAAAATTAATAACAAAGATGTTCTGGAGAAGCTCTGTTGGGCAGATGTTTCATTGTGATATTTTGTCTCCTTTTTCAGTGAAATTGCAGATAATCCTTATATGACTTCAGTGCCTGCAAATGCTTTCCATGGGCTTTGTAACGAATCTCTAACCCTGTAAGTTCTTCCAGTTTAAGTCACAAAGCAATGACCTCTCTGGTAATGCATATGGTAAAATGTTTAAAAGAAATTATCCCTGTCCTACTCTTCAGTAGTTTGTAACAGAGAAACACCATAGACAGGCAGTATCCATAATTTAGTTTGCATAAATCCTGTACTTTGACAGCTATTTGAACCAGTCCTGCTGCTTTTCTTTAAACTGTCTTGATTAAAGTGCTTTGGGTTTTGTATGACCCTAATGCCAGTGAATGATTATATTGGAGAAAATCAAATGAAAAAGTTTGCAAAGTTTTCCCCCTGTAAAGCTACAGCATGGTTAGAACTGTGTCTAACTCTTTTTGCAACCTAAATAACTCATACCATGAAAACTAATGGATGGCAAACATTAGAAGAGTCATATTTGAAAGAAAATTGTTAAATAAAGTTCAATTATGCAAGTCATAGTCAATGTGAAAGGGAGTGAAAATTACTGTAATGAGTTATGACCTGAACTGGGGGGGAAGAGCACTAGAATGCAAATTAATGACTTCTAAAGAAATTCTAAAAAAAACCCATTTTGCTCTAAGGGAGAAAAAGAATGAACTCTAAGAATTCAGGCACGCCCGATAGCAAAATCAGACCTGTTTTGCTAGTTGTTAGTTCCTTTAGCCTTCCTTAATCAATCGTCCAAGGATTTTGTTTCCTTGCTTTTAGTTTGATGGTGGGAAAGTTATAGCACAGTGGTTTAGTCTCATTCTGTCATTGCTGTAAAAAGAGGTAAAACACGGCACACCTGCCACATGGTATCCTTGAATCAGGTATATTCAAGAATGCTTCTGGGCATTTGGTTTGACCTTGCACTATAACTACTTCTTCTTCAAGAGATTAAAATTAACCCATCCATAAATGAGCTGTTGTCAAAAAAAATGATACGTAAGATGTTAGGTATTCAGGTATTGAAGCAACCCAAAATAGACTAATTTATTATTTTTTTTCCTTGCAGCAAACTCTACAATAACGGTTTTACCAGCATTCAAGGCCATGCTTTTAATGGGACAAATCTGGATGCTATGTAAGTAGCAGACCATTCTCTTCTTTCAGAAGACAAAAAAACCCCCTTTGATGCTTATTCAAGGTTCTGAAACACATATCTTACTCTAATTACTTTTAAGGAGTAAAAAGAGGATGTTAATTTCAGCCAGCAACAAAAATATTGTCGCTTAATGTCTTTTCCAGTGTGTTTTCATTTGGTATGTATATTTATAGCTCAGAAATAAAATCATGGTAGGTAATTCAGTGTGAGTTTTGTGCTGGCTTAAAGCTACAATAAAATTTCATTTGATCAGTAACTTTTCTAAGACAATTTGGAAGATAATTATACTGTTGTTCTTACATGACTGTTTATTTTAGTAATTGTAGCAGTGATAATTGTAGCAGCTCTTTCACAGAAATCTCTTACCTGCATAAAAGAGAATGGTGTAAGCTGCTGGGAGCAATTCAGAGGAACCAGTCACTTGTATCAGAAATGAGAGATGCACATCTCAAAAGCGTGAATCAACCATTTCATATTTCCCTTCACCTTCTTATTGTATTTTCTGGAAAATTAATTCTTAGTGAGTGAATATCCTTTTTACACCATACCCCAAATCATCTGCCTCAATCATTAACACAGAATAAATCTCAATTCCAGAGGCTCCATTCATTTTGGCAGAGCTTACTCTGGTCCTACAGGGGCTTTCCTGAAGAGTCTGGCTGTCAATCTCATGAGTAAAGAGATTTCTTCATCGTGAGCTCTTAAATTAACCAGAGAGACATGGTGATAGATATGCTTATTTTCAGTACTTTTTTTCAAATTGGGCTTAAATTCTGTAAGAATATCAACAGAGTATCCTTCATGTGGTCTTAATTTTTCCAAACTTCCTTTTTTACCTTAACAGCTAGCTAGACTTAAAGTTTGAAAGGTTTGAGTTAAACTAAAGATCTGAAACAGACCTTATTTTACTCACATTAGTTCAGTTACTTTGAACTTTCACATGAGAAAGGAAGTTTCTCATGACGACATAGTGTTTGTACTAGTGCCTGCAGAAATCACAAGATATAAAATATGGCAAAATGAATCCAGTGTCTTGACTGAATCCCTCTAAGCTGTACATAGCAATACTTAAAACCTTTCTAAGCCAATATATGAACTGCGTTGGCTCTTCCATTTCTTACATTTTGATGAAACACAAGTTGGAAACTATTTTGTAGCAATTTTTCTTTATGCTTCTCTGATAGTGTGCAAGTGCCACTGTTTCTGGCCTCTTTGGAATTCTCATTATTATTAAAGAATCAAGTGAAAATGTAGTTTTAGAAGATCTGGGGTCCTAAACATCTGTTATTGGACTGAGAACTAGAGAAGCAGACAACACATACTATCTTCTGTAGATACTGCTTGCTTGCTTTCTTGTGGAAAAAAAGTTTGTAATTAGTATTGTAATTTAAGTATTCTTTAAGGCTTTGAGAGTAGGAGGCAGAGAGATCTGGACAGACTTGAGAGCTGGGCAACCACCAACTACAATTAGTTTAACAAGAGCAGTTGCTCTGCAGATTCTCCATCTGGCACAGTGTAATCCTGGTTATACATACAAAGTGTGGAACAAGAGGCTGGAGAGCAGCCTTGCAGAGGGAGATCTGGGAGTTGCAGTGCCCTGGCAGCCAGGAGGGCCAACCGTGTCCTGGGGGCATCAGGCAAAGCATCACCAGCTGGTTGAGGGAGGGGATTGTCCTGCTCTGCTCTGCACTGGTGCAGCCTCACCTCTAGTGTTGTCTGCAGTTTTGGGCACCACAATATGAGTGGGACAACATTAGTGTGTGTTCACAGGAGAACAATCAGGATGGTGAAAGGCCTTAAGGGCAAGAACTTGAGGTCTTTGCTTGTTCAGCCTGGTAGAGAGAAGCCAACAACTTCCTCGAGAGAGGCAGTGGAGGGGGAGGTGCTGATCTTTCTCTAGTGACCAGCAATAGGACCCAGGAAAATAGAATGAACCTGCATCAGGAGAAGTTCAGATTTGACATAAGGAGAAGGTTCTTCACTGAGAGGGTGGTCAGATCACTCTCATGGAGAGTGGTCACAGCACCAAGACTGTCAAAGTTCAAAGAGCATCTGGATGATGGTCATAGTCATATGATTTTGTTTTTGGTCATTCTGCAAGGAACAGGGAGTTGGACTCCATGATACTTGTGGGGGCCTTCTAACTGGTTATATGGATATGCTCTATGATTCTATGATCCTAAGTGAATCTTTCCAGAGACTGGCTATGATGCCCTAGTTAATCAAATTTAAAAAAAGAAAAAAAAAAAGGAAAACTACCAACAAAACAACAAAATAACTAGAACTAGACTTATGTTCATGGCTTTATCTACCAGCAGTAAAAATGGTTTATTACGATAAACACTTTTCTAATTAAATCATTTGACATTTACTTGGAGCAAAGCACTACTCCAGATTTGCAAGGCAAGCTAGGGAGCTGAACATCAGTGGTAAAGATTTTATCTGTTTGATAAACTACACTGAAATTTCTAAATTAATTTTCTGAAGTAGTTTGGTTACCATACAACAAGGTAAGGTATAATTTTGCTAAGTGCAAGCTTGGAGATTTGTTGTTTCTAGCAGCAGCATAAAGCTAATGCAAAAGGCAAATATTTCATTTTCTCTATTCTGATATTTCTAATTTGAACTTCTCTTTACCTACCACTGTACAGTTAAGGAAGTACCTGTTTTTCTCTGTGTCTGATTCAAGGGCCTTTGAATTCAACAGAAATAGGAACAAAAAGAAACTAACAGAAAAAGGGTGACAGAAATTTGAATGGGTTTGGAATGATGATCTCAAGGAGAAAAATAAGTAAAAAAGGAAAACAATCAAAAATAATAATAAATTTTTAACAAATTATTCAAAGACTCCATGTTCCATCCATAAATCAGAAGATTTTGGGAATCTCTGAGGCTATCTTCTCCTATGCACTATGCCTTTCTACCACTCTTGCAATATTAAGATGCCTATGAAATTCAAGGTCAAAAAAATCAATGCAGATATAGGCATGAAAGCATGCATAAATGGTTTCCATTATCATCCTGAGTAATGGCACTACCTAATTGATTATCTCATCCAACAAGGATGTGTGTTTGATAACAAACCACAGTACTAGTGGACAAGATTTGTAGAGGTGGAGAAGTAAGAAACCAGGAATGAAGGGCAGAGAGACACTTTTACTGAAAAGCATTAATCTGAAACTTGAATCCATCATTCTAACCCATCATTAAGGTCCATAAACTGCATCACTCCTGCAGACTTCTGCAAGTGGTGCTGTTCCACCAGTGTTTATTTCTGTAAGGAAATTGGTGGGGAAAAAAGAGATTTTAAAACATATTTCCAGTGAATGGCAAAATATATTTGTGATGAGCTTTTACAGAGCTGTCTAAATTACTGAAATGGAAAGTGTGCAATCTCAAAATCTAATTATAAAAATAAACTCTAAAAGAATATATTTACTTCAGTATACACTTTCAGGGTTCACTTATAATGCTTGGCTCAGCTCAGAGTCAAGATAAACAATTGTGTGGAAAAATTATACGATGAATCTTTAGCACTCCTTACTTACCAGTGCATTTCTTTTGCCTGTTCTCCCTTTCTTTAACCTTAATTTCATAATCCAACTGGATGCATAAATACATTAACATGTTACATGTTCAGAGCCCATTTAATGCTGTAGTGGTGATACTTAAATATGTGGCCAACATATTTATCTTCTCCTTGTTTCTTAAGCTCTGCTGCCTTATTTTAAAACTAGAAGCTGAAAGCAGGCAAGCAGACAATAATAATTCCATCAGCCAGTGAGGTGTTCCAAGTAGGAACTTTGGTAAATTTACTTCTTTTTTTGCAAAATCTCCCCTTTTCCCTAATCTGTCTGTTCATTCTTATTCCATCATACCCTGTGAAGATAAAATTGGTTGTGGGACTGCAGTAAAATCTTATTGGTGAAATAATCCAGCTTTAAAAAAAAACCACTAAAGAAGGTGAGTCCAGCTGCAACACAGGGCATGAATGACCTTGGACTATAAAACAAGAGAAAAAGAAATCTTGCACACTTAAAGAAAGGTACGTGGCACTCACTATATGCTCTTTAGTTGAAGGTAGCTGGTCAGAATTTTTCATTCATATCTTTTAACCCCAGAATAAAGTACACTTTTGGTAAAAATAAAATACTTTGTAAAATTATCTTCAGATTTTTCATTATTTTTCACTTTTTCATCTCAGTTGAAGCTTTTGAATATTTTGAATATTCAGGATCTTGTTTTTCTTTTGGCACCTCTTGCTTTTCACGTTTGCTCTGCATATCCAAAATAGTATCCTTAAAGATCTCCCAGAATGCTCTCAATGATGTAATTTTCGTACTTTTGCTTTTTTTAAAGGAAGTTTTCTCATATATATTTATTTCTACCTTTTGGAGACTATAGCTGTGTTTGCCTCTTCAGCTTTTTTGGTCGTAGGGAGTTGCTGACTATCAATACCTGGTGGTTGCTCTTCTAAAAGAGACTTGAGGCACTAACATTTTGAAACAGTGTGCATGCCACTCAAGATGAAATCAAAGGCTGCTTTTCCTCATGTGGACTCTAACCTGTTGCTTTATGAAGCATGCACTGGTAATGTCTGAATACTCAGTATCTCTGTCATGCCCTGACATGACATTGTCTGCTTTTACAAAGCACTTGAAATGTCCTGTTAGTGTTTCATGCCCTCAGAATGTCCTGCTCAGCACACTGCAGTCATGTTGTTTTCTGGTGGGAGAAAACAACTCTGTATTAATCACTGGTATGGTTACCTTACTGATCTGACTGGATTTAAAAAAGGGGGAAAAAGCCTTCATTTACTTACAGCACCATGAAACCATCAGCATTTCCTACTCCAGATTCAGTAGGCACTACTACAGATTTCTGACATACTTTGCTCTGTGGTATTCATGTCTATCTGACTGCCACCTACGAACGCTCCAAAATGACTATTATTCTAGTGTCCCCACTGAGGCTAGATATTACACATCAACTATGTGATTTCTAAGACTTCAAACATTTGTTTAGACATGTGGATACCACTGTTGTGGTTTTCTCTTCTGCAGTGTATTTAAGTGACATTCTATATCATTTAGCTATCACTAATGGCAGGATTAAAGGCAGTCTCAGAAGGAACTATACTGGCTCTACGTAAGCTTTCTTTCTCAAACTAATATCTACCAAAGTCCTATTCTTTCCATTTAAAAGCGGTACCTATCAAAATAAAAGAGCTTAAACAACTGAAATCAATTAGCATCAGGAAATTGTACATTCTGATGGGCCTGACTCATTGATGTGAAAACTGGCAGCTAACATTGCAGCCCCTCCTTAGTAACACATGGTTATGAACTTCCCAACGTCTCTAGCTGTTTCTATTTGTAAGTTTGAAGGTTTATTACTTACTGTGGTGCTCAAATATCAGGGAAAAATATTTCAAAATTGGACAACCAATTATCTGGTTGTATAATAGTGTCTAGTTACTAAAGCAGATAGGTTTTGTTAGGTCAAGCAGGTTTTTGTGTCCTTCAAAACTACAACCTAGATGTTGAAATCTTGGATTAATTCTTAACTCTTGCTCTGGTTTTAATTTTTGTATTTGTTTTGCAGCTAAAATCATTAGGAAATTTGTACACTGAAGGAAATGTTCACAACAATAGTGTGCCATTTACAGAATACAAAAGTCAGTTTCAGAAAACACAAACACCAAGTGATACTAGAGTGCCATACATTTCTAAAGAATAGAAGCTTCTTTCAAACAATAGCAGAAGGTGACATAAGCTATTTTCCTCTGTAAGAAACAAGGCTTAAGTCATGGGCAAAGTCCAGTGAATAACATGCCAGAAGCATTATTCTGGTTTGGCTCCCTCAGACTTTCTATTGTGTAACGCAGATGAAGTGCATTTACTTCTCATTTCTCACTATGGTGATCAATATAAGCTTATATTCAGTGAATGTTATGAAAAATTTGCCAATGACTTCAACCAGGACAGATTAGAATCTTTACTTGATTTTTTCCACACCTTGGCTTGCCAGCTGGTCAAGGCAGGAGACTGTCCTGCTCTGCTCTGCTGTGGCCTCATCCTGAGTACCGTGTGCAATTTTGGGCAACAAAACAGAAGAAAGATATAAAGCTATTAGAGAGCCACAGAGGGCTATAAAGATGGTGAAGGGTCTAGAGGGGAAGCCTCTAGAGGAGCACCTGAGGTCACTTGGTCTGTTCAGCCTGGAGAAGACTGAGGGGAGACCTCATTGCAGTTACAGCTTCCTTGTGAGGGGAGGAGGGGCAGGCACTGATCTCTTCTCTGTGGTGACCAGTGACAGGACCCAAGGGAATGGCCTGAAGTTGTGTCAGGGGAGGTTTAGGTTGGATATTAGAAAGAGATTCTTCATCCAGAAAGTGGTTGGACACTGGAACAGGCTCCCCAGGGAAGCAGTCATGGCACCAAACCTGACATAGTTCAAGAAGTGTTTGGAGAATACTCTCAGGCACATGGTGTGACTCCTGGGGCTGTCCTGTGCATGGCCACGAGTTGGACTTTGATGATCCTTGTGGGTCCCTTCCAACTCAGAATATTCTGTAACTCTGTGAACTTTATGGACACCCTCTGAAATTTGTTGCGACCATGTTTCTATTGCACTTTTTGCCTTCTTAGTTACATCGCAAGCTCATTTGTAAATGCTTATAATAGAATACCAAACATCCCTCCCTGCTTGAGGCATTACTACCTGCACAGATAGAATCTAATTCTTTCTCCTTTTATTTTACTTAATTTCTTTAATAGGTTTGGTCATCTTATCATTTCTGCGCCAACTGCACTCTGAAATTTTATGAAATTACTCTATCCTGTGAAACATTACCTCCATAATGCAGCCTGTCTGCAATTCTTGTAAAGTTTCTGTCCTTCAGTCAGACTGATGACCCCATTGTTTTCTCTTGAGCAATATTTTATGGTCATCATCTGCAGTCATCTTTTTATTCATTCTTGCCTTACAAAGCCTCCACCAGTCCTGTGCCCTTGCTGGTAAAATGTCAAGTAATCCTGAAGCTTGTGGTTATTGGGTCTAGGTCGTCCATTTTTGCCATACTTTTGTCTCTATGAGTTTCTCCTCCTGCTTCTCTTGGACCTGAGCTACCTGTAATATTGCAGTCTGTGGGCCTTGCTGCTCTCTCAAACTTCAGCCTCATGCTTTCATCTGTGGTTTGCTACTGGGGCAATTACACTTCACCCTTTCCCCTATGCAGAAAATTGATAAAATTTATAAATGGAATAGTCAAAAGTGCTACAAGTTTCTCCTGCCTATGCACCTTGGTCCTTTAGAGCCTTTACAGGATTGATCATTTTGCTGTTACTTCATCAGGGGAAACAGACATGTTCCTCTAAAGCCTTCCTTGACAACTTTCTGTGTTCTCCTCCTTAATGGGTTGAGTGCATTTCTGCCCCAAAGTGTGGTCCTGCAACTGTACCACCCCTTTTGCTGCCTTTTTTCAACCTTCTCTCAGAGGTCCTTTCTCATCATAGTACAGAAACAAAACACTTGGACTGTTTTGTCTTCTTGCTTCTTGTCTTCATTCCCGTCAGCCAAAGGAGCTAGATGCTCCTCCATCCTCCTCCAGGGACTACTATATATGGCAAATCATTCTTAATCTCATCATAAGATTTCCAGTTCCATCTAAATTAAGTTAAAAGGCATGACTAGGTTTGATGTCTGCAAGTTGTTTCTCTTGTAAACATTGTGACAGAAGTTGATTGAATTAAGTAAAAACATCACCCAGAGTTTAATTGCTGTCTTAGGGAAAGAATTATCACAGTAGTATCCATGTGTACATGTATAAACAGACAGATATGTATGTATTATGTATACATTGCAACCTAAGCTTCGGTCTCTTTTCTTTGCTCCGCTAATTCAGCATATTCCTGTCTATGTGTTTAGGAGATCTAGCTGCACGTAACTGCAATCCTTCTCACTCCTAGATAACCAGGAGGAATCACCTCATCAAGGAAATTAACATTCCTGTTGTGTTTTGCAAAGTACATTTCAGCTGGACAGTTGTTCCAAACCCACATTTTTAATGTGTCAAATATACCCAACTAATACATATTTGTATATTTATCCTCATTTCAGCTGGAATAGAATTAATTTTCTTCCTAGTAGCTGGTACAGTGCTGTGTTTTGGACATAGTAGGGGATTGTTCTCATGTTGATAACACACTGGTGGTTTCAGTTGTTGCTGTGCAGTGCTCACCCTAAGTCAAGGACTTTTCAGTTTCCTGGTCTCTGCCAGTGAGCAGGTGCACATCCAGGACGGCTGATCTGAACTGGGCAAAGGGATATTCCACACAGCAGAACATCATGCCCAGCATATCAACTGGGAGCACTTGGCTGGGAGGGCCCAAGCGCTGCTGGGGGCCTGACTGGGCATCAGTCAGTGGGTGGCGAGCAATGGTATTGTGAAACACTTGAGGCTTTTAGGGTTTTATTTCTGTCTCTCTTTTTGCTGTCTCCCTTTCCAGTACAATTTTTTTCCCAATTATTAAATTGATCTTATCTCAACACAGGGGTTTTTCCTTCTTTCCAACTCTACTCCCCATTCAGTGGGAGGTGGGGGGTGTGCGAGCAGCTGAGTGGTTCTTAGTTGCCAGCTGGGGTTAAAACACAACACTGTGCTTCTGCTGCTCCTGCAGCAGGGGTTTTCGTACACCTACAACTGTGGAGCTAGTGAAGTCAATTATTTCTCCCAAGTCTTTTCACAAAAGCTATAAATTCTACTAGGCTGTTGAGAACAAAAGTCTCAGACAGAAATGCATAGCCTCTCGGAAGCAATTTGGAACTTTACTGAATTATCTGCAATAATAATCCATGTATCTATAAGTTTTTCAAATGACATTTTCAGACCATGGTAAACAAGAATCCAGCTTAAAAAAAAATAAAATCAAGATTCATTCTAGATCAGTCACTTTTAAATCTAAAACCCCATAAATTAATTTAACATTGACTGTGCCATTTGGGTTTTGTTAATTTTTTGAGTGTTCAGTAGCCTTGCATTACCTATCTTTAATCATGCACCTTTAATTCAAGTCTGAATTCCCTACTCCTGAATCCATACTTTTCTATACATCAGTTTACAGAGTGATGGGAATTAATGTTGGTCTTTGCTTACCTCAATCATGTAATGATAGAGAAATTTGCAGTTTTACATATGTCAGGAAAGTGTGGACTGGATACTCAGGAAATTGTTCATGGTTTTCCCAAGACTTTAGAATTATTTTTTTTACTTTGAAGTTCCTCTCCTTGTTCCTCCACTGTTGCTCTTCTTATAACACAACTTCAGTCTTAACTTTTGACCTGTATAAGGAAACCTACACTTCACTATGGGGATTTTAAAGCATTTAAAACTTTTATCAAACTCAAAACACAGAGGAAATTATTTTCCTGTTTGTTCATGATTTGCTAGCTTGGTTGGTTAAAGCATGATACTAATAATGCCAAGGTTGTGGGTTCAATCCCCGTATGGGCCTTTCACTTAAGAGCTGGACTCGATGATGCTTGTGGGTCTCTTCCAACTCAGAATATTCTGCTGTTCTGTAACAATGTAATTCCCCATACCTCATTCTGATAAAAGAAATCAAAACTATTTCACCTCAGCATCACACATATGTACCTGAAGATACAGTGTGCATGCATGTGTCCTTATTATGTGTATGACAATGATAAAAAATATATTAAATAAATTAGGAACTTTATTAATTGAGGAATTTAATTTATTTTAAAAATGGAAAACCTGTTTTTGTTTCTTGGGTACATAGAAAATGAACTAACTGATTATGCTTAAATATGCTATTGGGGTAGGATGACCCTTATACATACTGTTTTTGTAAATCTGTTCAGGCAAGTAAACTGGAGATCTCCTGTAACCTATGGATAACTATTTCCACATCACTGTGTTTTGTTTGTTTCTGCAGCTATCTGCACAAGAACAAATACCTGGAAGTTATCAATGATGATGCATTTCTGGGAGTGCACAGTGGACCAACTCTACTGTAAGTAGAAGAAAATGAAGTAGAGAAATCTTTAAAAATAATACTATTTTAGGTTGCACTTTCTTTCCAACCATTAGGAGCAGAGCAGCAGGGATGGGAATAGCATGTTTACAAAAATAATACCAGCAATAGAAGCTGTGCTTTAGGGAACTGATTTATAAAATGCTTGTATCTTACAGTACATACACCGTTCCTACCAATTTTTCTTTTGAAAGATTCTGTACTACAATCTGTTTTACAACTGTACAACTGTAATATAAAATAAGGACCCTAGTAGCACACATGTAAAGGAAACTGAAAGAGATGAAAAAATAATTTTAGACAGAAAAATACTTACTTCTGCTGCTGTCTTTTCTTCTTTCTCATGTAATTTGCTTCCAGTCTGATTTTATAGTTCTCTAAAGAACTTTTCACTAAAATTAGTAATCATAATTCAGAATGAAAATAAAAGCTTTAAAGAAGAACTTCTTGAAGAATCATGTTCCCTGGCTCAAATCATGTAGTATGTAATGTAGAGCACACGACTGATCACAAGGAGAACTGAAATACTGAAAGAGGGACATCCTCCTCCACTGCAAAACCAGATGGTGCTGGCAGTGCTCAGTCCATATAAGAATAACTTTTACTTTCTGCTCTTCAGGAAAATAGCATATTCATGGCAGAATAACAGTGCATTGTTCACAGAAGGATCCTAGTAGCTAGTTACAATAACAAAAGGTGCAGAAGATATTATTTTTCTTCCAGAATCTTTCCAACTCTAGAAAATCAGGCTGGCTACCAACAACATAGGAAACTAAAGCAGAAGTTTTACTGATCATAATCAATTTATGCTAAGAAGAATTGTGTCTATGCTGTGCAAAATTGCAACAGATCTTTGATGGCAAGGTCATCATCACACCTCTGGTTCTCTCTGCTCCCCATATCTCAAGTTAGATGGATTCCAAGGTCTGTGTGCGAATGGTAGCCTGTCTTCTGCTTCAGTCACCTAAATTACATTGTCTTCTGGGGTGAAGAGGAAGATCTGGCTGCAAGCCCACCTTTCAGGACCACATCCTTCCTCAATACCTTTACCACAAGGTCCACCAAAGTTATTAGCAGAGTCCTCGGAAACATGAGACCAGTTCTGGGAAATACCAGGTTTTCCTTTCACTGGTGTGAGGGGAGAGAGAGTCATATGTCTGAAGCAGATACCTTAAATAATTGGACATTAGAAGGGCAGTCCATAATAATCATAGAATCATAGAATCTTCAAGGTTAAATGAGACCTTTAAGATCATCTAGTCCAACCATCAACCCAGCACTACCACTGTAACCCCCAAACCACTAGGGAAGGGGGTCCAGAGGGAGGGAGGGAACTAGTCCAGACCTCTTCATTTGGAGCTGCAAAATCCTTGGGATGCAGATGTGTATGAGAAGAATAGGTAAAGGCAGTAACACACAGCACTGTGTCCCTCAGGATACTGTCCAACATAAACATGCCTTTTTGTTTTTTCCTATCACTGACTCACCTGAGAGATAAACCTCAGTTGTGTCATGAGTGGTCAGATCCTGAGACAGCAGAGAGATGGTAGTATTTTCTGGCTATGTCTTAAAAGTTAGACATTTTGTATATGAAAAGCACAGTCAAAGCCCTAGTTCAACATCAGGAGAAGAACTGGCCATCTAGGCAGAGCAAAGTAGTGTGTTCAGGAAGCAGAAGGCAACAAATCAAGAGAGAAAGCTGAGAAAGCTCACAAAGGGGCTGTTCAACTGCCTGTCTGTGGTGGCTGTTGCTCCTCTTCCTCCCTGTTGGTTGCATCACCTTCATTTCCACTGCTTCTGCTTTCAGAAGGGGTCAGGCTACCTACCCCTGAACTAGAATGGCCATGGTCAGAGAACTGTGATAGAGGCTGGGTTGGTGACATGGCAGCCTTCTCTTTATTAGTATTTGGATAATAAGGCATTTTTCTGAATATTGCAGATGGCACCTTTCTCATTTTGTTCCTGACCAGAAAGACATTTTTCAGTTGATAGAACTTTACCTGGATTTCCATTACATATTTCCATTATGATATTACATGGTCACAATAAATACAGTCTCCAAGCAAGGTGCACTCTTCTGTTATATTTGGGGTGTCGTACAGCTCCCAAACATAGCACTGCACATCTTCCCTCTGAGGCTACAGGTGCACAATGGGTTGAAAAGCTGCTTCCTAGGGATGGGAGAATACAAAATATTGAGGATCTTAAGTCAAAGGGAGCTGAGAGCTTGCAGCAGCACAGATCTTTGACTCTTTTGACTCCAACTTTGGTTACTGTGGGTATTTAAAGCACCAGTGTTGTTATTGTTATGCTAGACACATGAACAAGTTAAGATGCTGCTAAGAGTTGTGGGTTAATCATATGCAATAATAACACTGCCAGGTAAGCTCCCTCTGCAAGGGCTAACTGTGAGATGTGTGAGCTACATGATACCTCTTGGTTTAGGGGCTAGAGATGACTTCCTAGGATATACATATTTAACTGTAAAGAACTTCCCTCTTATTCTGTGTTTTCAAGTTAGATCTCTCAAATGACTTGAATTTTTTCTAATCTTCTACAATTATTGTGCTATCCTAGCTACCACTGATCCTCAATCTCAGGATGTTTTATAACAGCCAGCTATCCATCTCCTATTTGAATGATATATCTCCATGGCTAATAAGAGTTCTAGTAGCACTTACAACTAAAGAGAAATAGTGTCATTACAGAGAGAAGTATTGCTTTTCAAAGGCAGAAAGCAAAAAACGGCACATAAGCATAGGAAATCAAAAGTGATTTAAAAAGCCAGAGTATTTCACATCATGGTATTTTGATATACTAGTCCTAAGCTAAAGATTTTAATACGGTGTCACAGTTTAACCCTGGTCTGAATCTCACGTCCACACAGCTGCTGACTCACCCCTGCACCCAGCTGGACTGGGGAGAGAACTGGAAGGGTAAAAGTGAGAAAACTCATGAGTTGAGATAATTACAGTTTAATAATTAAAAAAAAACCACATTGAACCCACATACACACACAAAAAAACCAAAACACAAACCAGAGGGGGAAGAAAGCAAACCAAACCCAAGAACAACAAGTGATGCAACAAAACCAATTGCTCACCACCAGCCTATTGATGCCCAGCCAGCCCCCAAGCAATAGCAGTCCTGGCAAACTTCCACCCAGTTTTTATTGCTGAGCATGATGTGATAAGGTCTGGAATATCCCTTCATCAGTTGGGGTCAGCTGTCCTGGCTGTGTCCCCTCCCAAATTCTTGTGCACCCTCAGCCTCTTCGCTGGTCAGATGGTGTGAGGAGTAGAAAATGCCTTGGTTCAGTGCAAGCACTGCCCAGTGGTACCTGAAACATCCCTGTATTATCAACACAATTTGCACTCACAAATCAAAAACATAGCCTCATACTAGCTGCTGTGAAGAAATTTAACTCTATGCCAGCCAAACCCAAAACAGAGTGGAAATCTAATATTTATTGTTGTGTCACATCAATGGCCACTAATATCTCCCACAGGAAACAGAAATGTTCTTGGAATTAGTGCCTTAGTGTACACCCTGCACTATACCATCATGATCAATATTAACGAGTCATTTACAGAGAGACCAGAGATTTGTTAACTTGCATAACAGTCTGAGAAGTCTGACCAATACAGCCTGTCCATACTCCTTGGGCAGCATAAACAGCTTGGCTTATTATAAGAAATAATTTGTTAAGTCATTTTTGCTTCAGGCACTTAGCTGTTGTTAGCTGGCCATTGGATACTCCTCAAAAAGAAAGTTCTACTTTCAAAACTGTTTTGCCTTGAAATTTAACTCTATGGAAAATTATTGTGAGAATATTGCTTTTTTATTGGAGCAATGAATGGCACTGCTTATAATGGGAGCAGCCTGCAGAAAAAAACTAAAAAAAAAAAGAAAAAAAGGAACATTTACAGATCTCAAAAGAGAAACTCTGTCTTGCCTCCCCTAGCAAGCTGGAAGAACTAATTGTCTGGAGTTCCCTTTATGCACTCTTGAACTGAGATAAGAATTTATGGTTGATGGAACATCTGCCCCACAGATGGTGCTTTTTTCTGATTAGAATTTCAGCAGCAACAGCAAACTTAAAGGCTGAAATACAGACCATGGATCCACCCTAATGGAGTAATATTCCATTTGACCTTAAAGAAAACCAATGAGAAAGATTTAACTACAAAGAATTATGCCTGTCTATATCTTTGTTGTGTTAGTTTGGCCATGCTTTCAGACCCCCTAATTAGATGTTTTATTTAAGTAGATATTGAAAAGTTAGGTAATTTTTTTTTCAAATTTTCAGTTTTTCCCTGCAAAGGAAGCAGAGAGTCAGTAATTCTGGTTCCTTTGTCACTGATGTATACCCAGATGTATACAGCATCTTCATAGATGTATACACAGATTGCTCCCTTTAGAAAACTATTTTAACAGGATAATAACAGTACATTGTTCTTCATCTGAAAATGAAATCTTGGCAAGGATGCAGCAATTCAGCAGACCTGATTTACTAAATGCAATGAGAGCTGCATGAGAGCTTTTGCCCAGAGCAAAAGTTCAACAGAGTACAACAAAAATACAATCAGGCTCATTAGTCAAATAGCTTTTACAAAACACACAGTCCAAACTCAAAACATTACAGTCACACAAGATATATATGATTAGTTAATTCTCTGCAATTCTCCCAATCTAAGAATGGGTCCTACCTCAGGAGATTCTGTTGTTCCTGCCACTGGGCACAAGCAAGTCTTCAAGCAACAGGAGCACTCTGCATTCTGCTAATTAAACAATGTAAATTTGTAGATTTAAAAAAATCTTTCAGTAGAGAATAAAATAATATCTATAGTCTAAGCCCATCTATTATATATTTATTATATATTTTATGCTTTTTTAACTATTGTAATACTCAGAAATTGGTATATGATTAGGCAAAAATTCTCAATTGTACTGTGATGCAATCAGTCTCTTTTTCTTAA